CAGATAAACAACAAAGTGACGTCAATTCTCAATGAAGAGTTCCTGGCCAGCAAAGACTATGTACCTCAAAGAAGGGACTGGCTTTCAGCTTATTGGGCTGGATTCAAATCTCCTGAACAGCTTTCAACAGCTTTCCCGTATCCGTAACACTGGGTAACAACCAACTCACAAGTTCAATATTTAGTTCCTTACTGCTCATTGGATTTAGGACACTGAACATTCTGTTGTGCAGGGTCAATCCAGAAATATTAAAGAATGTTGGAAAGGATTTTTGAAGACCGTGCAAAAATGATTGAGACGGGGGAAGGTATTGACAGGGCAGTTGGTGAAGCTCTCGCTTTTGCAACTTTGTTAGTGGAGGGAAATCATGTCAGGTTGAGTGGGCAGGATGTTGGCAAGGTACTTTCAGCCATAGGCATTCTGTTATTCATGATCAATCGAACAACTATAATGGGCCCTCTAGAATTCAGGCGAATCGACGCCGTAGCACTCCATATCCAAGCATAGGTGCACGCCACAGTCCTTGAAACTGATCTGCTCCCTAAGGTATCCGTACCCAAAATCTTTTGACGTATGTCCATTCCATGAACATGCTTAGTCAAATAATATCCCATACACTTGGCCTACACTTAAAAAAAAAAAAAGAGAAAGCAACAAAATACGTTTATTCGAAAGAAAAATAACCACTACAAAACAAAGTTTTATATGTCATAATACCACTTACCAAGCTCTTCCCAATCCCTTGATACGTCGAATTATCCATCGAATTATGGTACACAAATTTCATTTCGGGAATGTTAAGGACAAGTAGGTAGAAGTGAAATTTTTGCACCACAGGAAAGAAAACATATTTGGCACCATTCAAGGACCTCATCATTTCATCAAGCACCGCAATAGTACTTCTACTAAAAGTAGAAGCACACGCTTCATAATCCTCCTTCCGAGGAGGTCTATGCTTAATTTTTTCGATTGCACTCACCATATCACTCTACAAATTCAATAGTTTTTTTAGCAAATTAACAATCAACAAAATTAATAGATATAGTATATTTAAATACCAGGTACCTGAACATATGTCGGCAAAAATCAGAGATGAGGATGGCATCCACGCATGATAGTCATATAGCAATCAATGAGTGACGAATTCAGCTCCGACCCGAACAAAAGAGAGCACATCGATTTCCTTCGGACCACAACTCGGTCATTGCTCCACATAATTTTGCTACCAAAATTTGTAATTTAAATTAGAATGATATAATAAAAATTAAAATAGTTAACGTCATTCCGGTTATCTCAATTGATCGCTTGCCAAGAACGACCGGATGACTGCAACATCCTCTTCTGGGACAACCCCATGTCCACAGAAATCCTCTCTGCCCCTGTATTGATTCAGCGAACAATCCTCATCGTCGTCATTATTGTCACTCTCCTACATTACAAAATAATTACTTACTTATATGAAAACAACACGAATAATCACATGAATTACAAGCATAAAATTGCTAGTTTAATTACCTCATCATCATCCAAGGTCGATGATCACCAACTGCTCTTGCTTTTTTTTTTTTCTTTCTTCTGCCTCTTCAGACAGGATGACGGAGGGGTCATAAAATCCACCGGCTTCGTCGTCTTCTTCCTCCCTTCCCTCTCCCGAACCCTCTTCACCATTGAGGAGGGTTGTTGTTTCTCCTCCACCCTCGAACCAGCAGCCGATCCCTCCATCAAACCAGCATCCGATCCCTCCATCAAACCAGCATCCTCGATTACAAGGTTTACAAGTCGGTCCAAGTTTTCAAACTCAGTCACACCTTCATTGTCATCCACAACAGGTTCTTTCTCAACAATCATCAGAGCCCATCGTTCCTCCTTCTTTTCCTCCTCTTTTTCCTCCTCTCTTTCCTCCTCTATTTCCTCTGGTTTTTCCTCCTGTTTTTCCTCCTCCTTCTCCTCTTTTTCCTCAGCAAAACAAACACCATCACCACCATCAGCCTCTTTTTTCTCACTTTTTTTTTTCTCTTTCTTTTTCTTCATTCTTTCTTTCTCTCCACTGAGATTCCAACAAGACTCCAACAGTTCAATTTGTTTTCTAAGTTTGTCGTTCTCAAGACAAACCATGGCAAACAATCGACTCTCAAAAGGTCCCTGTACATGAAAGAAAACAAAAATTAAAAAGAAAAAATATTTAAAAGGTCCCTTGTACCTAATGCTAAAACATAAATTCTGGACAAAAATTAAAGGAAAACCTGAGCTTCCACAAACGCACGCTCCTCCATAACAGGCGATATCGAGTACACCTGCAAAGCAAATCATAATGATTTAGGTACAAAATCGATTAACCAAAAAGATAAAATAAAAGAAGTAGAAAACACATATTATTATAAGTTTATATAAATTACCTTATGCCTCATTATTTTTTAAGGGAATGTAAAGACCCTTGAAATGTAGACGGCATTGTGCTCCCCATCCATCGAAATAGACGGGGAATCACCTCGAGCGTGGAACGTTTGCCCCGAGAAGGCACACGTTCGTACAACCAAGCCTACACACATACACATGATGTCAAAATTATACAATCTCACAATTTAATATTATTGTATTACGACATTGAAAAACATATATACATACCATCAGCCCAACCACACATCCGTCAAAGTAAGCTCGGTCTGTCGAATCACCGTGGCGAACAAGCGCTACAAGCAAGAATTTATGAGTCGCATCTCCCCACGCGAACTCAGAAATTTGACTCACATCCTCCAGGTAAGTGTAAACAAACCTGGGGATCGAGTAACTCGAAGAAGGAAACAAAATACAACAATAAACTAACAAACTATACATTCTGATGAAGTCGTCTATACAACTTTCATCAACAGAAAACTTTTGTAACAAATCTACTACATGCTTTCTTTTCAAAAAAATTTGACATGCTCGACCCCATCCTTCGAATAGCGCTTTCGAATCTAAAGAAAGGTCTAAGTCTACGCTTAGACTGCCCTGTCGAAGCCCCATCGTTACGCAGAACTCGGCGGGGTAAAAAATAAGAGACACATTATCACCTACCACAAAGGCATTCACATCTGTCTTGTATGTGCTAATTAAGGCCTCCACTCTACCATGTAACACCGCTATATCAGGCATATTTAGCAAAAAATAAAACGGACTCTTTTGAAGAGCCTGCTTGTGCTGGTCAGAAAGCAAGACAACTGTCTTGTCCATTATATCTCTAAAGAACGAAGGGGTACATCGACATCTAAATTCTGTGCCCTATCACAAACAAATAAACCAAACAAAAATTTCAAACAACAGAAACAAATACAACAACAATATATAAACCAACACCACCATTTCAACCAAACGAGCAGCACCATTAAAGAACAAAATAGCAACACAATTAAAGAACTATATAGCAACCAAACCAGTATCACCATTAAAGAACCAGTTGTGCAAGATACAAAAGACCAGTTCAAATATCAAACACACTGTCACTAAACAATTAATACAAAATAAAAAAAATTAATAAAATTTGGAACATGCTTAACTAATTGAGCCCTAATTAATAAAAATTAGGAAGATGTTTAACTAATTTAGCCTCAATTGAGCCATAATTCATGTAAACCCTAGACATGCAAAGAGCTATAATTTATCAATAAAATTCTTAATTGTTGACATAAAAATCAAATTCAAAGTTCATTAGCATCAACCAAATACTACATTTTGAAAATTTTCGAATTCAAAAAATATCCAAATTTTTGAAAAAAATCCCCAAATTTCGAATTCAAGAAAAAATTCAAAATTGTTGAAAAAATTTTCCAAAATCTCACCTTGTTTACTGTTATAGACCATAATTTCAAATTCAGCCCTAAATTGAAAAAAACCCTAATTTTCGAATTAACCTCTAAATTGAAAATAAAACCCTAAAATTATGAACAAAGCCTAAAAATCATAAATTACCTTTGAGCTCGGTAATGCCTTCGTGGGTGTCGATGAGGCGTTTGCATGGAGATTTCTTCTTGGAACCGGCCATGTCTTCACAGAGATGCGAACGGCGAGTGACACAGAGAGAGAGAGAGAGACGAAGATGGCAGGCGATGCTGATGAACGAAGAGAGAGAGAGAGAGAGAGAGCAGAGAAGGCGATGGCGATGGCGACGAACGAACAGAGATAGCAGAATGGATGGCGACGAAAAATCGAATAGAGAGAACATAGATGGATGGAGAGAGAGAAGAGAAAGCGGACGAAGAGAGAGAGAGAGAGAGAGAGAGAGAGAGA